GTCCACGGAAGTGAATTATGACTAGTCAGTAAATTGATCAGAAACTATTTTTAAGCAGTAGAAATGTTGTTATAAAGAAGATTCATCGGAGTGCATTGGACAGATAGAAAGTGTAATGAAGAAGTCTGGATTGAAAATATCTCACCAAGAGACAAGGTTGTCCTCATCAGAATATTCCAGTCAACGTCTGTTTTGCACGTCAAGAGGAAATGACAACTAGAGTATGTCGCGACAATAGAAGCTTTAGAGAAAAATTAAGTCGAGTCAGCGGGAAAATAAGAGAGAAAATGTTGGACTGTTGACGTAATGACGGGAGAGAACTCGTTTATCAGCATTGATTGTCAGTGCTATGCATAAAATAAAGGCTGCACAATCCACCTGTCAAAAACTTATTCCAAACACCTGCTCGCGTACTGCAGAATTGCCTCCTACAGAAAAATCTGTGGGGGAAAAATGACCAAAGGTAAAAGACATACACTTTGGGCAACCCTTGGAGACTTGCTGCTGACCTACCAGCTCACGTTCGCTCCCTGGAGGAGCCGGACTTTTCTTCAAAAATGACCTTGGCTCCCAGGTCGACCCGGCCTTGAGTGGGTACCAGGTGCAATCCCAGGAAGTAGAGGCGGCCGGCGTGATGCTGACCACATCACCCATCTTGTGCCGTTGTTCTATAAAAATATAGGTCTAGCCCTATATGCCCTATACGCCCAAAGGCGTGGAAAAGGTCCTCTACTTAACTTTTTTTAACCAGCTAACGGAGGCAACACAACAGATAACTTAAGCATATGAAAATGATCCCGAAGAAGAAGACGTTGAACAGAACAGCAGGCAGAACTGTAAACAGGACATTTTCAATAAGCCAGATGGGTGCAACCCGGGGACATTACAGTCGATCCTCTCTTTTGAAGCTGTTTTATTTTTTAATAATAGGAAAATAAATATGACTTGTTTGGTTGGTTTGCGAATCCTATCGTAGACTCTTTTACATAATAATCCTTAGAATTCCTTGGATAGCAACAAAATCAACAAAACAATAAAAGGGGCAACCCGCATGTTTCGAATGAGGAAAGAGCTCGAAGACAGTGTTCCGGGGCCCCATTATGGGGAAAACAAGAATAGACTCACTGCCTCCCCAAAAGCATGTCGTAAGAGTCGATTAATTGGGGAGCTTCCTTTGAAGTCGGAGTGCATCTGCCGGAGAGGCAAGGAACCAACAGTATGTATTCAAGAGAAAGAGATCTGTAAAACTGATGCACAAGAAACACTCAGGTTCTGGAGCAGGACTGCAGTTCACTAGTGGACGAGCAACCAGAACTTTCCGCCAGAGTGTACAGCTGGTGAAGGCGAAGAAGAAAAAGAAGTTGGTTACAAATATCAGATAGAAACAGTCATTTTATGTGGAGATTTAAACTGAAACATGTAACCACTGGAATGATCTGTGGAGTAAGAGACAGAGTAAGACAACATTAGAAGATTCTTGATAGTCTGTTGACGATCGCAGAATGTCCATAGGGATGATCGTCTATGCCAGTCGGCAAGGCAACTTGATTATGTTGATGGTAGACAGGGTATTCATTTTACAATTTATTACATTGACTCTCCGGTCCATCAAGGTCTAGACTACGGTTTTGCACTTATGTGAGTTTGTTTATAAACAAACAGTAATTAATTGGTGATATGCAGAACAGAGCAAATTAAATGGTATGATAGAATCAACAATGTTGAGCTTTGCGAGCGAACTAAACAAGTTACAGTGGACCAAGAGGCGAAGAAAAGACGCAGGCGTTGGGTGTAACACACCGTGAGAAAACCTGAGAACACTATAACTAAAAGTCTTTGCTCTAAAAAAAAAAAAAAATTACGGAGAAGGGTGCAGGAGAGTGAAGTTAAAAAAGATGGTGAAGACATGGGAAGAGCTGCATGCAATAGCGAAGGATAGACCAGTCTGGCGCGAATTGGTTGAGGGGATAGAAGGCAGAAGAAGAAGTATCAATGTAAAATCTCTATAGGCCTGTCTGTCCAGTGCTGATGCTTTACGTATGCCGAGAGGTATTAACATAGAACCAGAAGATATGATTCATCAAACAATTATAAAACAGGTTCCAACGCAAAGACAGCATTCCCATACACCCAGTCACCCACACTGAACCACAGGTCACTTCGTAATCACTGTGTGGTTCCCGAATATAGCTGTTGCTTATGGTTACATGGTTTAACCGGGTCTCCGAGATTTGAAGCTGTTTGATTCTCATACTTGGGATGTTATTCCTACAGAAGACTGCAATCTCTAAAGGAAGAAAGGCGTTTGCAAATAATTTAAAAAAGAAAATAATAAAAAAAATAAAAAAATTATGACTAAGCGTTGCAAGCCAGTTCACACCTAACATGTAAGTTTTTATTATCCGAAGAATTCTCTAACTTCATTTACCGTCAACCAGTATCAGCAAGTGTCCGGGGCAGGTAGGAAGTAACATATTTACATTATGAATTGTTTAGAGGAAATTTTAGGCAGTGAAGACAAGGTGACAGGACATTTCAGATGATACATGCTGGCTGGCTGGTTGGCTGGCATGTACATTTAATTAATTAAATGCGGGAGACGTTTAACAATGTTAATCTCGTCCATTTGAAAGAAAACGTTGCGCCAAAGAATAATGTTCCTATTTTGGCAAATGAATACCATCATCACCATTATCATCACAATTCAGGAGGTTCTTTCCAGAAAATAGCTTACCCTCTTCCCTCTCGACCCTTCTCCAATACCCCTCTTGTCGGAAAACCTCTGTCTTTGCTTAATTAAATTAGTGAAATAGTACTGCTATGCCGTACTAGGCTCAAATCTGACCTTTCTTCTTGACGTTCATCGGTAGTAAACTCCAGCATAATATCTTGGTTGTTCGTCCACTTCTGAACTGTAGTCTTGATGCATAACTTGAGTTTTGCGTGCACATTCGTTTTACAAATCTAACCTATTTGTATGCAAACTCAATGGGTTAGTTAGTGACGTTCAACTCCACCAGGACCGCACAACGAGCGATAAACACCCGGTGACACTAAGTGCATATACTCGGATGAGAATCACCTTGGTAAAAGTCCCAGGAACGCCATTCAGACATTAGGACATATAAGAGTCCTAACTGCAGCATGGTGGGGCTTCAAAAATAACTAAATATTTCGTCTCATATTGGGGCCAGCTTTGTATTTTGCAAACTGTTGGCTTCCTTCCTCAGCCTGATGCACGCTAAATTCCAAGAGAATAGCCATAATTAGTCGACATGCGTGTTACAGGAGTGGGCAGTGGGTCTATTCTTTACTCCCCAAACTAGGAAAGCCTAAAATGAGTTAATGGAAATGTTTTGTTGTAGTAAAAGCGGCCGGTGTGATTTTTATCACATCATTCGCCCAGTGAAGATTAATTATAAACATGTGGGTTTAAACAATGGTAAAGACCAAAATCCAAGTTAATTTCCCAATCTTATTCATGTTAAATTCTAAAGTATCTCCACCAGGTTTTTTATTTTATTTTTTATTTAAGGGGAAAAAGGTACCGGTACACACCCGAGTGTCTAAAAGAAAGGTGTCGATGCTAGTTACAAAGTGTCTATTACATTGGCGCTTAAGAGAAGAAAAACAAAGACAATGCCTTTTAAAATGTCTTGGTGCTTCCTACTAGTACCGCCAGAAAAATAAGCCCTGATCTCCACTATCGTGTGCCTACATTCGTGCTGAAAAACCATTTGCTGTGTTTCATACGGCCGAAGTATTCCGTGTTGCTCAGAGGTCTCACTGTGGGGGGAGGGGGGGGGAACGAGAACATACCGCCTGCCTCACCAACAAGCATGTCGTAAAAGTCATTTAATTTTGGGGTTCCTTCAAAGTTCGAGTTGTACCTGCCCAAGAGGCAAGGTGCCAACAGTCTGCATACAGATATGTCAGATTTGTGAAACCGATATGCACGCTACACTCAGGCTCTGGAGCAAGACTTAAATCTAGAAGTGGATGAGTAGCCAGAACTTTCTGCCGGAGTTTACAGTCGGTGAACACGAAGAAGAAGAAGAAGAAGAAGAAGAAGAAGAAGAAGAAGAAGAAGAAGAAGAAGAAGAAGAAGAAGAAGAAGAAGAAGAAGAAGAAGAAGAAGAAGAAGAAGAAGAAGAAGAAGAAGAAGAGGAAGAAGAAGAAGAAGAAGAAGATGAAGAAGAGGAAGAAAAGAAGAAGAAGAAGAAGAAGAGGAAGAAGAAGAAGAAGAAGAAGAAGAAGAAGAAGAAGAAGAAGAGGAAGAAAAGAAGAAGAAGAAGAAGAAGAGGAAGAAGAAGAAGAAGAAGAAGAAGAAGAAGAAGAAGAAGAAGAAGAAGAAGAAGAAGAAGAAGAAGAAGAAGAAGAAGAAGAAGAAGAAGAAGAGAAGAAGAAGAAGAAAGAAGAAGAAGAAGAAAGAGAGAAGAAGAAGAAGAAGAAGAAGAAGAAGAAGAAGAAGAAGAAGAAGAAGAAGAAGAAGAAGAAGAAGAAGAAGAAAGAAGAAGATGAAGAAGATGAAGAAGAAGAAGAAGAAGAAGAAGAAGAAGAAGAAGAAGAAGAAGAAGAAGAAGAAGAAGAAGAAGAAGAAGAAGAAGAAGAAGAAGAAGAAGAAGAAGAAGAAAGAAGGAAAGAAAGAAAGAAAGAAAGAAAGAAAGAAAGAAAGAAAGAAAGAAAGAAAGAAAGAAAGAAAGAAAGAAAGAAAGAAAGAAAGAAAGAAAGAAAGAAAGAAAGAAAGAAAGAAAGAAAGAAAGAAAGAAAGAAAGAAAAGAAAGAAAGAAAGAAAGAAAGAAAGAAAGAAAGAAAGAAAGAAAGAAAGAAAGAAAGAAAGAAAGAAAGAAAGAAAGAAAGAAAGAAAGAAAGAAAAAAGAAAGAAAGAAAGAAAGAAAGAAAGAAATAAAGAAAGTAGTGGTGTTGATAATGAAGAAATTTACGAAATGGATGAAGAAGGAACGTTTCATTTAAAACAGTCTTTGTTTTGTTTCTGTCAGCGGTTCCACCTTGCAATCTCTTACAAGGATCGCCACATGAACAGTGCCTCAATGGAGCCTGTGTACAAAATTTCCCAGGTCTCTACGCCTGTGCATGCTACAATGGATATCAACAGAGTTTTACCAATCCCAATATTTGCGACAGTAAGTAGCATATAGCAACCTAGTCTCAATTTCTACTCCCATTCCCCCCACCCCCACACCCGAAACCTTATTCTAACTGACAGTTTAACTACGCTGAGATTCATCATTATCTTGTAGCAGGTCCTTTGCAGAACGTCCCTCTCATCACGGTCTGCCTGAAAGAAACTCGGTCACTCGCCAGCTCTACCCGCCTCATGTACTTTCATACTCAAGGAGTCACATATATCCTGTGCCCATCTTCGTGTTGGTCGGCCCCTGCTCCTTCTTCCTGGTAACATGACTTCTGCTTTTATTTTTTCCAATCCGTCGTGGCGTTTGATATGATGAAAATATTTCAGCTTTCGAGACAGGATACTGTTTATTAGCCAAGCTTCTTTGATGTTCAGATCTTACAAGATGTCAGTATTTCTCCTCTTCTTTGTCCAAGATATTCTATGAATCTTTCTATAGCATTTTAGCTCAAAAGCCCCTGCTATCTTTCTAAAGGACTGGGAGATAGTCCACGACTCACATCCGTATGTTGCTAGAGGGAAGATGCATGCTCTCAAAATTCTAATTTTCATATCCTTGCTGGTGCTTAACCATAGACTTTTAATGCTGTATCTTAAGATTACAAAGCTTAAATGTGGATGATAGGCCACCATGGCAAAACCTAGAGACACTCTGTTCAACCTCCAAAGAAGTATTGGTTGGGGCGATGTAACCTGCAGTACTAGGTAGGAAGGGTAGTCGTCACGTTCAACCAAGATCCCCTAAAGGGGAGCTTTAGGTTATAATTGTGACAAGGTTATGTGCGCCATATAAAATGGGTTAGCATTGCACGCCATAACTCTAAAAAGGACTCCTGCAGTGTTGATATGATCAAAGGAGACAGACACAAATACTGTCCAGACCGGCGACGAAGTCGTCTGTCGGCCTGCCAGTGGGCGACCCGATCGCTGATGTGCTGCAGCGCTGATCTTTAAATTCCTTATATGATCTTCAGACTTTATATGGTATTCAAAGACGAGGAGATCGACTATACTGCGTGCGGTTTTATCTTATGTGGCTCGATCTTAATTTGCAAAGTAACTGACTCTCCCCACTGCTAAAACACCCAAGCATCACTATGGCACTAAAACGACAACTGATAAATTGCATGTTTATACCAACCCTCTGCTACCAATGCCAAACCTGGTCCCTAACAAGAGCACAGGAGAAAAAGATCCGACGTGCGAAATTAGATGCTTACGTAAGGCTGCCAATGTCACAAGGAGAAACAGAGTTCGAAACGAGAACATTAGAGCAATTGTATGAACAACACCATGCCTGCAATACATAAAGAAGCAACAAATAGAGTGGTTTGGCCACTTGATGCGAATGCAAACCGACACACCTACGTTGATAGAAAACTGCGACTCCCCACTACGCTGTGAGGCAATTGTGGACAAGACAAGACAAGACAAGACTGGTAGCGCGGGAAGAGGGTCACACAAAACACCAAAACTGAATCTCTAGTGATGACCCCCCAGAAATCTACAAAACACCTGTACTCGTGAACGGACCGACTGTCTCATGCCGAACCTACAGTCGCCGGAGTGCCAGGCAAATCGCTAAATTGTATGGCTAGAAAGGCAATGGTAGGCAAAGCGAAGAACACATTTTTCCACCATGAGTTGTTTTCAATATTTGGAATTTAAAACAAAGTAAGCCAAGGGTATAAAAGGGTATTTTATTTAGCCAAAGGGACTCGATTTGTACCATGGAAATAACACACGATCCATCTTTGCCTCCCATAACATTTCCTGGTGCTGTTTGTTGGACTTTCATTTGAGGCCCCTCTTATATTACTTTATAATTAGGTTTATCACAGAATACCTTTCTTCAGCCTCTTTTTTCTGGAAATCTCTGATACTTACTCTAATGTGTGTGTGTGTGTGTGTGTGTGTCTGTGTGTGTGTGTGTGTGTACATATGTTTGTGTAATTGTGTCAATCACACACTCGATCAAAGGGAATTCGAACACTTTTAGAAAAGTTTGCTTAAAAAAAGTATAAATCAAAATATAAAAACTGTGAATACTGAAAATATGTGTGGAAAGAGAGGCGGAGGAAGGGAACATAAGAATATTCTTGAAAGCTGTTTGTGGTGTAAGTATCAACACATGAATTGATACATGCTGATAAAGATGACACACTGAGGGGAGGTATGATCGCCTATGCCAGTCGGCAAGGCTTATGGAAGAAATTATGATGAGAATAAGTCGGCCCCTACTGCTTCACTTGCTGTTTTACTGCTTAGGTATTTGCTTTGCTGGAAAACAAATCGTCACGTTCAACCAGCATCCCCGAAGAAGGTGCTTTAGGTTACAATTGTGGTTAGATTATGTGCACCACATAAAATGGCTCAGCATTGCACGGCACCAACTAGCCCTGAAAAGACTCCTACAGTGTGTTTCTTCTTCTTCTTTACGTCCTCTTTTACCGCATCGGGAGTCGACGGAGATATGTTTAGGTGCTTTATTAATAGCCTACGCCAAATAGGCGAAATCCACAGTCACGGAACAGTCTAATATTTCAGGGGGTGGTAGATAGGCTACATGCAGTCACGGGATCTAGGCTGCAGGCAGTCGTGGGACCTAGGCAGCACTATCTCGTAGGACGTAGGTTGGTTTGGGTTAGGGCCAGTTCTAGATGTTTTGGGGTCGTTAAAAGCAACAGAAAGCCGGGAAACCCAGTCTTACCACCCTCTAAAATGTTGGACTGTCATGTGACGTCATCTAGGGGTAAGATATTAATAAAGAAACTGAGTTTATGCTTCTTGCTCTTCTGGTCGCCTGAGCCATAAGCACATTGTGATGTTGTAGAGTTTCTCAGATGTTATCTTGCCATGTTGTACTCATCTACCTGGCTCAGTCCGAAACGTCCTGGTCAACCTGGCTCTTGTGAGGTTGCGACAGGCCTGACAAGCCAGCAAACGCATTTACTATACCTACACAGAATAAAATAGGATATAAACGGACTGATTGAACGATCGTGGTAATGTTAAAGATGAAAATGATAAAAGATAACAAACAACTACACATGTTCGACAAAACTCCAGTAATTAGACCCTCTGGCGAAATGGTCTATGAATCACTTTCGTGTTTTGCCGCAGGACGCATGTCTTCTGAACTTTTACATTGATTTGTTTACTCCTACTGCACTAAATGCTTTCAGACATGTTTTACAAATGGAACTGCAAATAATAAATCTACCTATTCCAGACATTTATTTAAGTATGAAATGGTTTCCAGATATTGACGAATGTAGACTGCCTGGTCTCGGCTGTGCACCTGGCTCATGCACAGATTTGATTGGTGACTACTCATGCACGGCTTGTGTCATAGGCTACACTTTAGACCAGCGTGGTAAATGTCTGAGTGAGTATCTGTCTACCTGCCTAACTAGGTGTCTATCTACCTTCAAGTCTACTTTTTAATCAACAAACATTCATAAAGCCCAAGCACGTACATGTCAGTCAACCCACATATCAACTAACACAATTACCTTCATTCATATCTACCTATCAAATAGATTACCTAATTATATATAAACCAACCTATTTACGTACATACATATCTTCCTATATTTCTATCTACCAACAGATTTATCTAACAACAGACGTAACAACCTATCCACAAACAAAAATGTACCTAAATACCCACATTTCACACAGTCTACCTCCATATATGCACACATACATACCAATTAACCAAACTTCCTACAAACACCAATGTGCAGACATGCAAATAAATTATTCAGAGAACAGTTGATTTTATTAATGCAGATTTTGGGTTGAGATATGACACTGTCGTCTGGACTGGATCTTTTGCCAGTGTTTAAGTCTGACAGAGTTACAATAATCACAAATTGTGTGTGTGTGTGTGTTGTAGTGGTTAAAAACGAGCAAATAATTGCATAGGCAAATGCTGCTTATAACAGACTTCAGAGTGTCTGGAGATAAAACATCTACAGCACTAAAACTAAACTCAGGATATGAAAAACATGCGTTAGGACAGTTCTCCTCTTTGGAGCAGAAACAGACAGAAAGATGACCATGCTCAGAGGTTTTGAGGCAAGACTTCTTAAAAGAATGTTGAGGTTCACATAGAAAGATAAAATCAGCAATTCTAGATTTAAAAAAACGACAGACGTAGAAAATTTATATTTATAAATTAAAAAAAACAAAGATGAAGGTGGATTGGGCACGTTGTCAGAAAGAACTAACGAACGAACTTTAATTTCAAAGGGTCACAAATTAGGCACGCAGGCCTGTCTTACATAATAATATGCAAATTATGAATATCAAGTCAAAAATAAAAGCATGGGTGGTAAAATGCATGCGCATGCTCGCGCGCGAACATACACACACCCATATTCACACGCAAACTTGTTCACTCATTTAAACATACACAAATAGGCACTCAATACACACATTTACATACACATCCACATAAATACAAACATGTACACACACACATTCGTACATGTGTAAATACAAACAAACATGAAAACACACACACACATATATACATACATACACACATACACACACATACACACACATACACACACATATATACACACACATACACACACACATACACACACATATACACACACATACACACACATAAACACACATACACACACATACACACACACACATACACACATACACACACATACACACACACATACACACATACATACATACATATATACATACACACACACACTACATACATACACACACACTACATACATACACACACACACACACACACACACACACACACACACACACACACACACACACACACACACACACACACACACACACACACACACACACACACATACATACACATACATACACATACATACACATACATACATACATACATACATACATACATACATACATACATACATACATACATACATACATACATACATACATACATACATACATACATACATACACACACACACACATACACACACACTCTAAAACACACACACATACAACCCAGACACATACAGACACACACACAACTATACACACACACAAACACACACCCGTAGCCGCACAAAAAGACACCTACAGGTACAATACAAACACATACACACACACACGCAGGCAAGGAAACACACAGACACGCACATATAAAGAAAGAGAGACAGCCGAGACAGGCAATGCAATGGACACCACAATTACAGCGAGTAAGAGACAGGCCCCGAGGAGAACCTTTGAGGCTGAACTTGAGGCTAAGTGGCGACAGTTTGTCTCTGCCCTATGTGCCTCTATGCGCGATGAGGAATGATTGATTTATTCTCTATGAGTGTGTGTGTGTGTGTGTGTGTGTGTGTGTGTGTGTGTGTGTGTTTTGCACTCTTTCAGTTTTCCCACACGATAGTTATCCACTGTTGTTATATGTGGATGTACTGGAACCGCAGCCCATAGCGATGGCGAGTGTGACTAGCAAGGCCAGCTCGAGTTAAAAAGAATCTTCTACATTAAGTGCACCTGATTCCAGGGCTGCTGTTGCCTTCACATGTATTTGACATCTTTCTTCTCTTCTTTCTGACGCTCAGAGGCAGTCATATAATGTAACAACGGGGTGGTGACTTGTAAATTCATCATATAGTTTCACGTCACTAGAAGTTAACGAACTCTTAGTGAGTCGTTTGGTACTAAATGAGTTAGAAGACAAGGAATATGTACACACAATTTCTAAGGAACCATATTAAAATGGTCCGAACGGAGAAACTGGGGGAAAATAATTGTCTGGAGCAGACGATTGGTAAAAGTTGCTTAATAATAGAGTAATAAAGATTATTTTAACTATGTCTTGTAACCTGTTATTATTGTTGTTAAGGAGGTCAAGATTGTTAAGTACGTTAAATTACTGTGCCGACAAACACGGTGATATCCTAATGACAGTTTAAAGATGGCCTCCCAAACGATATTGACAGGTGTAATTTATATCACACTGTAAATGATTTCATTTGAATTCCCTCGTATAAAAATAAAAGTAACACTAACTTCCAACAACTATCAGACGACAGAGAGGAATTGATTGGAGAGTCTTGAATGCTAATGCTTGCTCCTAACCACGCACCATAAGAAACACAATTTTTACGAATTACTTCTGGAAATTCCACTCTAATTCAGTATGAGGGTTAATGTTATGTTATCACATTCTACATCACTGCACACTGGGCGTTCCCAAGCCTGCTCAGTCTTCTGATGCAGCAGCCACTCCAGTGTACCTCTATTGATTGTTCCTATGAGAAGTTGTAGTGTATTTTTTCTTCGCCTCCAAGACAGCATAAACGTGCTTCACCAATCTTTACTACCATGTCATGTAATCATATTAACCTCAGAAAATTATTAATTTCCACCAAACTAGTCCTAATAATGGTGATAGTATCAGCTCAAGTCGATGCAAACGCTTTGTAATGCCGGGGTGCCGGGTTCGATCCCAGCTGCGGGCCATGCGCCTTGCGTTGGTTTCGACAGTGGTATCAGGGGGGAGGGGGCCGACCGCTCAGGAAGCAATGGCAAACTACTGGACGTAGATTCGCCTAGAGAAACCACACAACAGCCAGGGGCTGCTGGGGTTGGTTCTGCAACGTCCTTTAAAGGATGCGCAATTAACCAAGTATCAGCTCTGTCCATGCTTCTTTCGATAAATATTGGGGCATTACTTGCCAGCTGGTAGGCTCGCTCACTACCTGTTACTCCAGGTGATGAAGGCTAATCGTGATTTCCAAACACCTGTTGGGACTGTCTGAATCATGTTCGTGGACTGTGATATGATTACAGCGTGAAACGCTATGGAGCTATCGAGGAAGATATCCAGGCACCAATTTGATACGACCGGAGTGCGATCATGCAGGACTCATTTTAAAGATAACTTACCCCAGACTGTAATCAACGTCAGTCTCCACCTCATTGATTAGTATTCAGTCTCTCTCTCTCTCTCTCTCTCTCTCTCTCTCTCTCTCTCTCTCTCTCTCTCTCTCTCTCTCTCTCTAGTTATACAAGAACCAACTATCGGCAACGGGCCAGTATGCTCTTTTTTTTCAGTCAAGAGCAAGGTGTCTTAACTGGTAACTATCTCAACTTTAATTTGTCAACGCTTTTTACTTTCCTTACAGGAATTGGTGGCAGTCAGCAAATACCAGTGCAACAGTTTCGGCTGCAGCAACAACGGCCACAAGTGAATAATCAAGGACAGAACAGTGCACTCCCTTGGCTATTTCCAATGATGGACGGCATGTTCTGATTTCTATATAAATACCTAAGTAAACATGTTTACAGATACTAGGTCTTATTTGTTATCATTACGACTGATCGGTGATTGTTGAAATGGGGTGGGCAAGAGCCATTGACCACCATAAATAATATCACAGTTCGTGTAAGTTAAGTTAAACAAGTATTGTTGACGATATTGTGGACAAGGCAGAATGGAGATTACAGACCAGAGAGTGACAGCATAAACAAACTCAACAGGAAAGAACAAACAACAATTTTTAGACTTCGGACTGGACACTGTGGTCTTCGAGCACACCTGTACAAGACAGGCATAAAAGAATCTGCTGCCTGTGATTGTGGAGCAGAAAGACAGACCCCTGGGCACATACTACAGTACTGCCCTCACCTCTCCCAACAAAGACTGTAGATCTGGCCCAAGGGAGCCACATTTAAAGAGAAACTATGGGGGACCGGTGGCGACCTTAAACGCACAATCCTATTTGTGACCCAGACGGGACTCAATGTTTAGCATGACTGATGTCGAATGCAGAAGAAGAAGAAAGTTGACGATAGTCTTATAGTCTATGTCGTGTGATGTTGGGAGTCATGTCTATACAAAACCTTCTGTCTCGTGTACTTTCCACCAAGTTCAAGATTTGGAGAACAGCCGACTTGAAGGAGAAGAAACGCAGCTGGAGACCAGAAGATAAGATGTTAGTTTGGCAGCACGACATAGGGAGACGTCGGTATCGACAATTAGTAATTATTTCCCTGTAGAAGAATGATGTACACCAATGGTTCTCAACCTTGGGATCGCAAGACAGTTTTAAGCAGGTGTTAAACAGCTTTGAAACTGAGCGCATTTGTACTTGTAATAACTTGTTATACCAACTTTTAAAAAATTGAATTATAACAAAAAATTTTTTTAACTATCATCATCATGTGCTAACTGGCGCAGGCACGCATGCGTCTCCACAGATCAGGATCCCTGGTTGCGTGGAACAGCTCTCTTGAGGATATCCCTCCATGCCATCGTTTCAGCCCATTGAGCATCGTCTCTCTTGGTCTGCCTCGTCCCATTTTTTCCACTGATCTTAAAAACTGTATTTAAAACAAAAAGTCAAGGACATTGTATTATTCAATACTTCAATTTATAAGGATGTTTTCGCTCAAGTTCTTGTGCAAAGCGCTTGGAATTTTTTCACATTTCCTTTTAAAGATGCGAATGGGATGTTGGAGTCCTGCCATATATTCAAGTGATAAACAGCATCATCATAAGTCCCTTGCCAGCTGGCGTGGACGATCATGCATCTCCACAATCTGCGATCCGCAGCTGCATATATCAGTTGGTGTGCTGACAACCCTCCATGCTATGACGAAAGAATGTATAAAATCTTCTCACCCTGTCTTCCTCTGTCTCTCTTTCCACAGATCTTTTCAGTGGACACAACATGTTTTATTTTCCCTTTTCTCATAACATGACCAAAAAATGACTAGTGTCTCTTTCTGATGTTTGTGATAAGTTGTCTTCGAGCACTCGCCTCTTTCAAAACATCTTGGTTGCTCTTCTCGGCTGCCCAAGGAATTCTAACATATAAAAATGACATATGGTAAAGGTTGAAAACCACTGAATCAGACAGACATGACTACCATAGCGACGCAGCGCGGCCTTTCTAAATAACTATGTATGTAGTTAACGTCGCTCATAAGTACCTGAACAACTACATGGGGGAAAGACAATCTATCACATGTGGACAAGTTACCTGCACTGCTTTCATATACATGAGGAATGATAGGTGTAGAAATCCTGTTGCTCCGCGCACAAGAAATAAATGGTTATAATTTCTGTCTCTGACAGACACAACACGAAAGAGTAGACGTAAATGGAAATGCTTGCGACGTTAACACAAGTCCATGCCTCTAACATCAGCTGTAATAGTACGCAGTAGTACCAGAGCCGTATCAATAGACAAAGCAGTGTTCAGGGACTTTCCTCTACGACAGCCTGGAGGGCTTAGTGGGCTCGAAGCACGGCGTCTGCCTCGAGTGCTGGTCAGGCCCCGGACTTCTAGTAATTTCCCCTGGTCCCTGGGTAGTAAGATCGGACATAATTTTGTGACCACACCCAGTCATAAACTTATTCCATTGCAGATTCATAACTAGTGAATATGTGTTCCGATAGTCTTTCCCCAAAAGGGTCATGACACACACGTTGAGAACCGTTGGCCTACAGAAATATGAGACTCAGATGCCGGATGCGCTACTGGAAAACGGAGTTCTTTACTTAATAAGAGAGTCGCTGTGGCGTAGCGGCTAAAGGCTAGCTTTAAGTGGGAACAGGGTGCAGTTCTGGGAAGTAAAGGCGGCCGCCGTAATGCTGACCACATCACCCATCTTGTGCCGATTGGTCTTTAAAAATATAGGTCTAGCCCTATTGGCCTAAATGCTTGGAAAAGGGACCTTTACTTTACCTACTTAATAAACACTGTATATGTATCCTATTCAGGTGTTATATTTATGTAGTTACCTTTCCTATGTACATACTTTGGTTTGAGAACTCCGTAGATAATTTGTTGGCTTTCTGTAAGATAGATGTTCTAACACAAATAGGTGTGCTGCCAACTCGCCTGAAGCTGACTCCAGCCTGATATGTCGCAAAGAACAACCTGACAAATCAGTCTCTTAACAACAGAAGAAGATCAAATCAATCAGAAAGCGTCACCAAGACTATTACCATATAACTGACAGACCAGAGCAAGTTATTATTCTACGCCTTAGTTCAGGACACAGTCGACTTCGCAGCCACATGTACACACAATTTAAGATTGGCAAAACAGCCATGTGGACATGTGGATTGGCACCTGCGACAACAAATCCCTCCAAACAACATATCAAAGCAAAACTTTCAGCCAAGACAAGCACTGGTGCAAGTCAAACTTTACAGGTCGTTGAGTGAATTAAAAAAGAGAGTGCAGTTCATTTTAGAGACAGCACTGCAAATATAGATGATCTATTTCAAGCAAGTGAAGAAGGAGAGAGAGGAGAGAAGTGAGTCTTTCAGTCTGAGAATTTAGGGCCGCCTAGCAAGTGCTGTCTCCATAGACTGTGCAGGTGAGAATATTATGTTTGCACTTGACAGTAAAAATCCACAACCTTATGAAGAATTCGAAACTCTCACAAATGTTTGTTGTTTGTTTTAGTATCCAGAAGCCATGAGTTGTTAACCCTTAGGCTCAGTATTATGGATATCGCAACCTTTCGGCCTTGATTCCATTGTAAATACAGTAAATCTGGGAGAAATGTGGCTTTTTCTGCCTACCCCCGGGAGTGAACCTGGACCGCAAGGAGTTCGTCACCCGGTCACCGCGTAATACGGTTTGGCCAACTACGCTAGTGAGCTAGGCAAGTCTCACAAAAAAAGAGCCTAATGTACTTAACTGTTAAGTTAACTGCTAATCCTTTTACTAACTTTCTAAAACTTCTATTATGAAACTTGGGCATGGAAGGTGGCCAACTACACCATCTTATGTTAGAGACGTATACTATTTAAAGACCCAATACATCGTAACCTAAAGGCAACATCTGCAATGTAACTACACTTGCCATTGTATTTTCATAATATCTATGGTGATTTCTGTGCACTGGCACCTATCTAACCTCAAAAGATTAGTTTTGGTGCTGTTTTATCGCCATTTACTGGGAGGTCAAGGTGGCCGGCATGAAACTGACCACTTCACCCACCCAGTGCCGAGTGGTCTATAAAATTTGGGTCAAGCACTATATATCCTTAATACATCTGAAGGTATGGAAAAGGGTCCTTTGTCACCAGTTGTGACATCTTTATCCTAGAACAGACACAGTGCATACTTCTAAACATCACTTCTTTTAATCAGAACCGAAATCTAGTGATTTCTGATCCTCATAAATCAGTTACACTAACTGAAACACCATATTCCTTTTAAGCCCAGAAAAAACTTATGTCTTCTATTTTATATATATATATATATATATATATATATATATATATATATATATATATATATATATATATATATATATATATATATATATATATGAATAAGTAAATACTTAACCTTAAAGACAAAAGCTCTCTTTCTCTCTCTTGTTGTATCCTACCAAAATTGATAAACATCCAGTGACACACAGTGCCACCATGCGGATGAGGATCACTCGTGGAGAAACCCAGAAACCCCTTTCAGCCGCTAGGCCATGTTTATTGCCCGGTTATGTTCAGGGCCCCCAGCCTTTTTTTTCACATTTGAACATTTTATTATCAAATCATGACTTTCTCAATTTCTGATCTTTATGTCCTCAAACCAGCTGGGGGTGCCCTTTCTCCAACAAAAGCAGGAGTGGGCTGGCTGACCTGAAAATGTGGAAGCTTGTCAAAGTCCAGTGCTTTTAACATCTCTTCAGTATCTGGATCAATTTCAATAATAATGTCTAGCTCAAGAGCAGAAACCTCTGGTACATAGTTATCTCTTCTCTCCCTCTCTTACTCCTGAAGTTTAATAGAGATATTCCTTACTGGTCCCTTTTGAATCCTCTTCATCAGATGTGTAACAAATCCAGCAATCTTGTTCCTCAGCTTCTTGCTAGGGATGACTGCAATCTTCTCACATACTCGCTTGTTTGTGAGGAAGTCATTGGTCAACTTGGTGTAATATGACAACTAGAATTAACTCAAATAGACAAAAACATAACAAATGAAGTTATAAATGTGTTTATTTTTACTACAACCATGTGACAGAAATAGTAAACGTGAACTGCATATATACGTGTCAACAGTATTTGCTAATAACTGCATAATGATCACCATTCACACAGAAATTAAGATAAAGCCATTTGTTATCTCAACTCTGGCAGAGGTTTTATGAGCACATAAATTCACGGTAATCTCATATAAATTGCAAGTGGAATAAGTGAGCTTCAGGAAAGATAACTATATAACTCAGGCAAGATATAAATGATGGAGTTAGTGAACATTGTTCAGCACACAAGTAAAAGGATAATGAAAATCAAATGCTGCTACAAGGTTTTAGTTTGTGTTGTGTATTACAATTACCAGCAGCACTATTGTGTCTCTTGTAACATTACAAGTAGTCTGTAGTCACATACAGGTTTGGGCATTAACTTTTTTAGCAAACAGTGCCGTACATAAAAAGTCTCGGGAAAAAAATGCTTTGATCAATTACCATAAATATGTTGTTGAATGTTGATTTAAGAATCAACATCACAACACTTGGGACACCCATATAAGCGCTCTATTCAGCAGGAAGCGAAGAGTTAAAATTCTAACATAAAAAAGTGTCTGCATGGGGTGTTTAACAATTTTTATATAATGGCTGTTCTCTTTTTCTCTTCCAGACAATTTTTCCAAATCTCTTCCTATCCCCAACATTTAATTTTATTTGAATATTGAGTGAGAACTTACACTAACACCAGGGACTTATGTGATTTAAGTACCAACAACTTATACCATTTGTTTGTCCCAATTAACACATTGTATGAAAACAAGCCATCATATAGTGTGTTCCAATGCTTACTTTACATTTGATCAGAGCATACTGAAAAACATCTGACCATTCCCATTATATTTAACCTCTCAGAATGTGGTACATGACATAATTCAAAAACCAAAACCTACATAAGTAAAATGAAGTGTTGGACAAGTATAGTAGTCATGAGAGGCAGAAAGAAACAACAGTTGAAACTAACACCTATCAACAACAACAAAAACCTGTGCCACAAAATGCAACATTTAAATAGTGTAAAATATGAATGTGATTGCATAAAATACCAGTTCTATGTGTACATACAGACAGCTTTGTAAGAACATTGTATACTTGAGCATCTACTGTCTACTCGCAATAGAGGCAGCTTAAAGCATGATCATAACTTCTAATTTCCAAACAAAATATTCAAAGATATACAATATGAATAGTCATACTTTTACTTGGTTAGAGTGCAGTGGAAAATTATAATTGAAAAAAAGGTGCCACGACAAAGAAAAGTTTGGGAAACACTGAATTAACTAATAAAAAGCAGCTCTACCAGTTTTATGGTTCAAGGCTTAATCAGACAACCTCTGAACTAAGCTTTTCATTTATAAAAAAAGCTAGATCATAAATGATTTTTGTTTCCATTTGATTAAAAATGCCAAAGAAACTATCATTTATTTATTTTTAATTTTGTTTTAAACAATAAAACAATGAGTTACCTTAAAATTCAACATAAATTTAACTCTGTCAAGCTTCTTATATATTTTTTTTAAACACTGCAGAAGCAGACCAGTGGTTCTCAACCTGTGAGAAATTTTCTCCCAGTAGGAAATGTTACTTAACTCTTTGAGTCCCAAAGAACGCATCATACGTTCATAGGTTCCCACCTAGAGGTCCAATGAACGCAAGATGCGCCGATTTTACATCTCTTTTGACTAGCCCATGGGCCTCTGATGCTAAACCCCCTGGGACTCAAAGAGTTAAGTATGTTACTAAAGTATAATTTAGGGTGAAATATATTTTTAAACCATGTTTACTAAAATTATGCTTCAGCTAAGTTACCTCTGATATAAAATTTAGCAACCAATTTTGTTGCCGACATTATATTATGTGTAAAGCTTCTTATAAGAGCAAGCCAAATAAATGTGTACACATTAGTTAACCTGGTTCACCAGGTTACTGTAGACGTCAATGCGATTCTGGAGGCAGACCAGGAATCACATTTCTTTTAAAATCTATGTACGGATACAAAAAGAATGTTGTGTATTATTTAAACAGGTGTTGTCTGTTTGACCTTAAAATCTTGGGTTTTAATCAGGGCAAATTTTTATAACTGATCTTGGCTGTTAGGTCAATCAAGGCTAATGTCATGAGAAATTACAGTGAATAACATGGTGCTGATCCCATAACCCATCAAATGCCAATTGCTTTTTAAAAATATAGTTCTAGAACCTTATGCCCAATAGGGCAGCTCATTAAAAGCACCTTTTACTTATTTACATATTTAATTTAACCAAGACATGAATAGTGATACTTTTACTAAGGTGGCACCTTGGCAAAATTGTAATTTTAAAAAGGTGTTACGACCTGGAAAATGTTTAGGAAACACTGTTCTAGATGATGCCTGCTGTGCACTCATAACTTTAACTTAACCTCCAGTCCACTGTGGGGTGGGGGGAAATGAGCAAGAAAAATGTGAACATATTTACTGTTCACTGCTGCCTGCAATATCAAGACTATCTCTGCCAAAGAGATATAACAAGAGTTGATAGTGTCTCCTGAAAAAGTTACTGGGCATTGACTTCTAAGCCATCCCTGAGATTTGTAGCATAGCATTTCATCCATGTGTGGGTTCTGGCACCCTCATTTTAGGGGAACAAAGAATAGACCCCCTGTTGACACACAAGCAGATACCCCAGAGTACAAAAGTGAATCTCATCAGAACTATTTTTAGCCAACATTATGCAATCAGTGCCAAATGTGGGCACTTACATCCTCTAATAAACGTAAAATTGTTACAACAGAGATTAGAAGAGCTGCACGAGTTTCAAGGAAAGACAGAATACAAAATCAGACGAATGCACAAAATTAAGACACAAGCAAATGCTAGGAATTAGGACATAGACAAATACTAGGAATTAGGACACAGATGAATGCTAGGAATTAAGACAGTCTTACAGGTCATCAAAGAACACCGAATGAAGTGGTCTGGAGACCTAACAAGAATGTCCTGGTACTATCTACCACAGCGAGCCACACTGAAACGTTGCAACGGGGATAGAGTGAGACGGAAACCTAGGAAAAGATGGAGTGATAGAATTAGAACAGCCTTACACGAATGAACATCAATCCTAATAGTGCTCTTGACAGAGCTCATCAACAAATGTTACAGCCCCCCCCCCCCCCCCCCCCCCTTTTTTTTCCCACTGAGGTACAAAGCAGAAGAGAAGAAGAAGAAGCAGAAAAGAATGAACACACTGCCCCTAACGAGCATGTGGTGATAAGTAACTAATACAGGATTTGCTGTAACTTAACAACAATTTTCAGACTCCCGTCAAGGGCATATGAAGTAGTACCATACCTGGAGATATAGCATCTCTGTGGTGCCTTGTTTTTATCTAATCTTGATATTCAAGATGCATGACTCAGACATATGTTAACATTGCAAAAGTGTTTGTACTTTTAAGACAATGATCACATTACAGATATTTAATCTAATAAAAGGATCTACTTTTAGAAGTACACATTTACAGAAATATTTGCTGAGTGCTTTTCTGAAAGAAATAGCCATGGAAATAGGTGGAACTGTACAGGTACAGTGGCCAACAAAAACTGTATTAGTACAGTAGCCAAAACGTTTCCTGTCAACACACTTGCCATGTTTTCTGTTCCCCATTAAGAGTGATTTTCAACATTGACTTATGGTTTCCTATTGACAGTCCCAATATAGGTATATGGGGAAAAAAATGGCCAATGAGTGTACTGGTCAATAAAATATGTGAGAACCACTGTATATCCATACACATAGGTACAAAGGAAACACTCTGAGAAGTAAAAGCAGCCAGCAAGATGCTGACCATACCATGCACCAAAAAGTGTCATTGGTCCATGAAAAGTTATAAGACTAGCAACAGATGCTCAGTGACTAACCTGCCCTTCAATTTTCCCTAAATACACAAGCTATACTTCACTCACTCTCTCTCTCTTGTTGTACCCCACCATAACATCATACAAGCGATAAACACCCGGTGACACTAAGTGCCATCATGCAGATGAGGATCAACCATGAAGAGGTCCCAGAAACTCCTTTCAGCCCTTAGGCCAAATTAATAGTCCAACTATATTCAGACCCCCGGCAAAATTCAGGGTAGGGCTTCAAATAACAAAAAATTGCATCCCACATGGTGACGACTAATATATAAATATACTTCACATGAAATAAAAACACTGTATAAAGTGCAGTGTTAAAAGAAAATGCATTACAAATGTAAATGAACACTGAGTCACACACATATTAACAGTAACATTGTGTGAGAGTACTGAGTATTGAGTGAATACAGTTATTACATATTTTACAATTTACATAAAATACACATGTCAAAATAGCAGTTATTTGAGCAAATCTGGCTGGAGAGCCCCTAAACATGCCAAGAGCATTAATCATGTTGAAAAACTTTGTAACACAACTGTCAGTTTTAAATGTATAAATCATATCCTGTCAGTACCCCCCCCCCCCCCCCCACGTTTTGTTTTTTTTCTTCCTGTGACCACTGATAGTAAGAAAAATAAATCAGTGTTAGATATCAAAGTGGCTGATCCCAGAAAGACTGAATATGAATTGATAGCCCCCAGAAATATAAATCTTGATTCTACTGGATTTTTGACTATGACTAAATGAATTTAAAATTATTTTCATGTTGCTGTATCACTGTTCTTTTTATTTGCACACTAAAGCATTTCTTGCCGCAGCATTCATGTTTTTAATTATAACTGTATTCCTGTAAAGTCTACCTTTGTCAATATCTTCAAAGCTAACAAGAACACCAGAGAAAATTATCGAGGAACAGGGGATGCAAATTAAGACAAGAGGAATCCCAAACTCCTAAAAAGTAACATAAAAGTAACAAGACCTATATGATCTATGTAATTTCATTCTCTGATGCATAAATGA